TAACATTATCTGCATTGAGTTACCATTTGATGGCATTTTTTAATATATATTCAGAGTGGAAACCTGAGAGATCCTAAAGTTGAGGTTAAAGAAGAGATAAAAGAGGAGGAAAGGATGAGGATGGGAGGATGGAGGAGTCAGAGCTTCTAAAAGAACACAAAGATCTGTACCAGGACACCATGGTGGAGTCATCCAGCTACAGGAACCCACCAGAGAGATGTCCCCGTCCTCTGTATTCCCGGGATTCCACACAGGAAGGTCACACCATCCACTCACCATCATCAGGTAGATGATGACAATTTTTGGTAGTTTGTGATTTATATACACAGCATGTTTGTTACGAATGATTGTTTTATTATATCTTTCAGAGTGGAATCCTCGGGGATGTATAATATTGATGTTAAAGAAGAGTATAAAGAGGAGGGATGAGGAGTATGGAGTGATGGAGTAGTTTTCAGGAGGACACAAGGAGATGATGGAGCCGACCCTAATACCATGAACCCCCCAGAGAGATGTCCCCCGTCCTCGTGTAAATCCCTTCCCAGGATTTCCACATCAGGACGAGTCACGCGCGCAATCCCTCACCACTCTCTGCAAGGATTGGTGGGATGGTGAATCTAGAACATGGAACTCATGGAGAACTCGCGTGTGATGCAGAGGAGATAATATGTGATCACCTTATATTTTTAACAGGTATGCATATTTCTATCTCATTTCCTTGATTTTATAGTGGAGATGCCAATCGATATATAATTTGAGGTGACATCCAGAAGAAGAAGAGGCGTATGGTGAGAGGATGATCAGCGCAGTCTATATGGAGAGAGTGTCTGGAATAAACTGGGTACATTTTTATTAATGAGGAGGAACACACTCTATCTCAGTGCGTGTCGAGCGCGTGCGCCATAGTGGTTCATGAACAGAGGCGCGCTAAATCCCATATCCCTCCAACCCCATACTGCTCACCTGATTGGTCCAGAGATAGGGCGGGACCCTTGGGTCGAAGTGATCAGCCTGTCGTAGGATCGCGCGCTGAGTAGCACTTACCTGAGCTGTGTTCCCACGTCCCTGTAGTATCCCGGTGGATGTCTCTCGATACACTTCCTCTCTGTGCTGCAAGACACAATTTAGTATCTAGCACTGGATTTACTATGGAGGTCACACACACGGGGTTTCAGCTGCGATGTGCGCGTGCGCGAGCATGTATGATTGAGTAGCGCAGAGCGCGCATAGCGTGATGGTGGGATAGAGCGCTGGGACATGTGTATTGTGCGTCTTCTCTAGCGCGCCTTATCATGACAGCTAACAGGATACTCTGACACACCACACACACACTTTCTCGCGCCCCCCCCCCCCCCCCCCCCCCCACCAACAAGGGGAACAGTTCCTTGCTCTGTGGTCCTGCTGGCTGTGCCAGGTTGGAGGGATATGTCTGTAGTGTCTCATCAGCCCCAAGTCAACTGAGTGTCAGTCCTACAGTAGATGGGAGGCTAGCGGTGTGGAATCTCTGCAACTTGTACTACAGTAAACATTAAAAAGCACCACTGATTACTGGAATACCAATATTAATGAGTCCTGACCCGAATACTGTATAATTTATAGATGTATCCAAATTTTGTACATACTTCCCTGACCCCTGCACGTATATAAATTACAGTTGTGTTCAGAAATAAACAGCGTTCAACACATCCCCCAAAACCTAACTGGATCACTCACTGGTGTTTTTGGTGGAAATGATATTTCCTACATGGCTAATAATTTTCCTAGCAGGTGTAGTAGAGTCATAGAAATCCAACAGACCTCAACAGTCATGACACTGGCAGTGCTGCTGATTTCCTGTGTCATAGAATCACATCCTATTGAAAAGTGCGTTGTTCAAATATACTAGCAGTGTGGGAGTTCTATTAGTGAGGGTCATTCATTCTTATGAAAGAACAGGTTGGCAAATTATTGCCCTTATTTAAGGCAGGAAGGCAGCAAATGTTGGGACATGTCTGGTTACCAGTGCATTTCTCTCAGAAATTCTGATGAAAATGGTGGTCCGTTCACCAGACATTGATCAGAAGAACAGCGTACCTTGATTAAAAAAGTTGATTGGAGAGAGCAGAGAAAGGAGAAGACAGGGGATGAAGAGGAGGGGGGAGAGGAGAGGAGGAGGGGAAAACATATAAAGAAGTGCAGAAATGATCGGCTGCCTTCAGCTAAAATGATGGCAAATTGCTTTAAGAGATTGTGGCAACCAAAACCTGAAAGACGTGGAAGAAAAAGCGAAAAACTATCTACCATTAGGAATGGAATAGAAGAATAGCCCAACCGTTGGGGCTGGACTCAGCCAACAATCAGCTTTCCAGGAAGATGAAAGAAGGTGTGACGTTCCCTGTGAGGACAGTTACAATTAAGAAGAACGCCCTATGTGAAGCCAAGCCTAATCTGCAAGAAGTCCCCGCATCAAGTCCCACTGTTGGAAAAAGACGTGTGCTGAAGAGTTTACAAGTCTGCCAAAGAGCACATTGACTGGCCTAAATGAGAAATGGTGCAACAATTTGTGGTGCTGATGGAAGTAAGATTGATTCTAGTTTCTTTGTGGTCTAGTGGGCGCGAGACAGACTTGTCAGACGACACCCAAGACAACTGAATCCAAGACACAGTACACTAGTGAAGACCGTGAAGCATGGTGGTGCAAGCATCACGATATGGGGAATGGTTTCTCATACTAACTAACGGTGTTGGGCCTATTAATCGCATACCATGGATCATGGATCAGTTTTTGAATACATCAGAAGTACTTGAAGAGGTCATGCTGCCTTATGCAGAAGAGGAAAATGCCCTTTGAAATGGGTGTTTCCCCAACAAGACAACGACCCCAAACACACCAGTGAAACGTACAACATCTTAGGTTCCAGACCAACAAGATGTGACGTTAATGGAGTGGCCAGCCCAATCCCAGGATCTTCATATCCAATAGAAAAACATTGTGGGGTGACATCAAAAAATGGCCGTTTCTGATGCGAACCAATTGACAAGAAATAGAGAAAGAACTGTGGAAATGTGGTCCAATATCATCCTGGGCGTGGAATACCTGATCACAGAGGGGCCATAAGATTGGGTGGGTTTGGGGGAAACTCCATGCGTAACAACAGATGTACATCAGTTCGCAGAAACATGCGGACACTACAACCAAAATATTCAATGATGTCATTCAAAGGAAAGCAAAAAACTTCCAAATATATCTCAGTTTATATAGTGGAATGGGTTTGAGTTGTGAAAGTAGAATACAAAACACTATTTTTTGAACCGTGCCTAATATTCACTTTTCTTTCCATTATTTTAGAGGAACAACACAAATTTGATGTATTTTTCTTCATGATTGTTATTTGGAATAGAATGTGGTCGTATTCCCAAAGCATTATGTGTGGGATGGAAAAGAAAAGAGTTTAGAAGGGATTTTCCCAGCTTTAGTCCATTTTTTTACTTTTTTCAACACACTGCGAATTATATTGAACACAAACACTCTATGTTATAAATATACATACCACAGCTATATATTCTCGTTATGTTCCCACCCATTTCCTCCAGCAGGACAATTATTATGATCGGATGATGTGTATTGGAGCACAGACCAATTAACAGGGTGAATAATAAAGTTGATGAACATCCTCCAGACTTTAGGACTCCTTAAACATAAAGTGATAATGAGGGAGGAGTCAATACCACCAATGATGGTGGTCTTGCAGGATCAAGATCCCCCCAGTCTTTCATTCCTTGGTTGTTCTCCCCCCCATCCTCACGTCTCTGACCTCTGGTGGGGCTCCGCTCGCGCGCAGCCCGCATGTTCTTCATGACTAAATCATGGACTAAATAAAGGAAGTGCAGTACTTCTTGTGTTGGGAAAGATGGCGATGAGTGAATAGGTGGGTGTGGGGACCCTCATCCCTATAAATTCCCCTCATCACTGATCCCACCTATAAAAGTACAGTTTCTGGTTGTTTCCATCACTCACTGACTAAGGTATCCATGAATAAAGAAATGACCTGGTAGGAGAATCAAGAGGAGAACATTTCTTATTCCCTTGAGGTATGGGAATTGTAAGCTTCCTCAGAGACCAAGCTGCCTGATGTGGGCGAAGTACCTGGTTTTGGGGGGAACCAAATCATCTCCTGGTCTAGTAATCCCTCTTTGGTCTTTGTATTTTAGGTCCCATAGGCCGGGAGAATGAGGAAAACCACCGAGGATTGGTCTCACGTTGTCTCCTAGACCATGGTAAGTAGAAGAAGATGGACATTCACACTACGTATAGTCCCAGGAGAAAAACCCGGCTCCCTGACCTCCAATGTCCCTTCCCGGCAACACCCAGTGTAGATTGGACCAATCAGATTCCTCGTATCCTGAGGAACCTCAGAACTGTGCGGAACCGGTGCCCGCCATCCAATCAGAAAAAGATGTTCTCTTGTACTGAGTTGTGGGAAAGGGATATCCTTTCTAAGATCCAAATTTTTACATAGGCATAAAAGAACTCACACAGGGAAAAGCCGTATTCCTGGTCCTGAGTGCGGGAAATGTATCCAATCTAAGTACCAATCATAATGTGCATAAAATATCTCACACAGGGGAAGTAAGCCGTATTCCTGTCCTGAGTGCGGGAAGGTTTCCACCGGCGTAAACCAGAGCTATAATGTGCATAAAACAACCTCACACACAGGGGAGAAGCCATATTCCTGTCCTGAGTGTGGAGGAAATGTTTTTTCCAATCTAAAAAATGGTCTATAATATGCATAAAAGATCTCACACACGAGAGAGAAGCGTATTCCCTGTCCCTGAGTTGCTGGGAAACAGTTTTTCATCAGAAGTCCCGTTTTTACAACACAGTCAGAGATCTCACACATGGTGATAAGCTGGTATTCCTGTCCTGAGTGATGAGAAATGTTTTTCCCCAGAAGACTGATTGTTTGCAGACATCAGAGAATCTCACACAGGGTGAAAGCCATACTCCTGTCCTGAGTGCGGAAAATGTTTTTTTCAAGCTAAGTCCCATCTTTACAGACATCAGAGATGTCACTAACAGGGGATAAGCCGTATGCCTGTTATCTGAGTGTGGAGAATGTTTTTCAGACAAGTCTAGGTCTTCTCGCCACCATCAGAGATCTCACACAGGTGAGCAGCCGAATTCCTGTCCAGAGTGCAAGAAAATGTTTTTTTCAGGTAGAAAGTCCCGTCTTCTCACACATAATAGATCTCATCACTGTGGGGATAAGCCTATTCCCCTGTCCAGAGTGCAAGAAATGTTTTTCAGTGAAGTCCCGTCTTCTCACACATCAGATATCTCACACAGGGGAGAAGCCGTATTCCCTGTTCTGAGTGTGGGAAATGGTTTTTCACACAAAGCTCCCGTTTTCATAAACAAACATCAGAGATCTCACACTGGGGAAGAAGCCGTATTGCTGTTCTGAGTGTGGGAAATGTTTTCATACAAGTCTAGTCTTCACACACATCAGAGATCTCACACTGGGGGAGAAGCCGTATTCCTGTCCTGTGTGCGGGAAAGTGTTTTTCAAAGAAGTCCAATCTTCATAAACATGCAGAGATCTCACACGGGGGAGATGCCATATTCCTGTCCTTAGTGCGGGAAATGTTTTTCACAGGTCATCCAATCTTTACAGACATCAGAGATCTCACACGTAGGAGAAGCCAACTTTCCTGTGCTGAGTGAGGAAATGTTCCTAACTAAAGTCCATGTCTTCCTGTACATCAGGGGTCCCACACACCCTGGAGGTTGTATTAAGTGCATTGAGTGCGGGAAAAATGTCTTCTAGATGAATGTTGCTGGACATCTCATGTGGGAAAGAAGCACACCCTGATATTGTTGGAATTTTAGACACACATAATACTTCTTTAAGGTGTCTTGAGGTGATGATTATGAATAAAAGAGCCATTGAAATAAAAAATGAAGTGTGATTTTATTCTAATCACACAATGGTGTAAAATAACAATGTAAAGCGTATTATGAACAGTTCCATGTAGATAAAACTACTGTAGAAATATCAAGCAGAAGTTTAAAAAATAACAGTCACCATTTTTGTTATAGAATTCCGGCCATGTGCTGTCCTGTCCTTCATGCTCTCCTTGTCCTTCTCGAGACTTCATGTTAAGAAGCCGGAAGTAGACGGAAGTGACGATCTTTGCAGCATTTGCACCTGTTGCAGCTTCTCAGACATGCTGTGTAAGTGTGTATGTTGTGCAAGAGTGTCAGTGTTAGCGTCTCCCCCCGCCGTGTCCGTTGTCTCATGGTCTTTTATGAGGCAAATTTACGTCATAGTTAGTGATCTTAATACCTTCTATGGACATTATTACTGCTTGGCAAAGCCATTTCATACAAGGAAGGAGATGCTATAATATGATGTTTGATGGACAGGTTACAGATGTGATGTACATAATACTATAATGCTGATGATGTCACCTCAGCTATTCCATATATAAATGAATAATATAACTTAAGAACATATCAATGTATAATCACTAATCTATATATGTATCAATGTTAGAGACGTATACTAAATACACACAGATACTATTTTAAATACATTATGTAATAATAAGTCACTTCTAATACCTTTGACATTTACAAGAGACTTCTGACCAGAACTACACCGAAATATAGTCTTCAGCTGGTTAGCTGATCTCAGCCTAACTAAGTCATATCTTCTGTCTCAGCAATTATACTGAAGAAATAAATAATATCATCGGTTTAAGGCGACAATTCTCACACATTTTAATATTAATTATGATTAATCATAAAAACCAAATATTTTGCAAGCTTGCCATCAATATACCGTATTTTTCGCTCCATAAGATGCACTTTTTTCCCCCAAAAAGGGGGGAAAATGTCAGTGCGTCTTATGGAGCGAATATAAAGCAGCCGGTCCGGTATTTCTGCCGCCACCATATGTCAGAATACCGGGGCCGGCCGCTCAGCTGTTCTCTCCTGCAGGGCCTTACTTGTTCCTCGCTCCAGCACTGCACAGTCTTCCCGCGCTGGCTTCTGTGACAACCGGGTGCCCACTGCACATGTGCTGTGCTTTGTGAATGATCCGGTGTTTTCTGGACACATGACAGGTCCCAGAAGGCACCGGGCCATTCACAAAGCGCAGCGCTTCTCGCGCAATATGCGCAGTGGGCACCCGGCTGTCACAGAAAGCCGGCCCGGGGGAAGAAGAGGGAAGGACAACTTCGTGGAGGGGGAGCGGGTACCTGTCAAATTCAGGTACCCCGCTCCCCCTCCCTCCCCAAAGGTCAGCAGTCTCTGGTCATTCCCTGCACTGTCTGCAGTCTTGGTCATCCCCTGCACTGTCTGCAGTCTCTGGTCATTCCTGCACTGTCTGCAGTCTCTGGTCATCCCCTGCACTGTGTCCGCAGTCTCTGGTCATCCCCTGCACTGTGTCCGCAGTCTCTGGTCATTCCCCTGCACTGTGTCCGCAGTCTCTGGTCATCCCTGCACTGTGTCCGCAGTCTTGGGTCATCCCCTGCACTGTGTCCCGCAGTCTCTGGTCATCTCCTGCACTGTGTCCGCAGGTCTCTGGTCATCTCCTGCACTATGTCAGCAGTCTCTGGTCATCTCCTGCACTGTGTCCGCAGTCTCACTGGTCATCCCCTGTACTGTGTCTGCAGTCCAATTGGTTCAGAATATTTTTTTTTCTTGTTTTTCGCCTCTAAAACCTAGGTGCGTCTTATGGAGCGAAAAAATAGGTAAGTGCCAAATTATAAATTTGATTAATTTCTTACAAGTCCCCCCTTATAGTCAAAGTATGAATCTGTTTAACTGATGAGGCATAAGGCCAATTCAGTCAAACTTTCATCATTACACAACACAGCAGGTTGTACAAAATGCTGCTTTTTCACATTTTATTTCCATCTTCTTTATTTGTGAGTCAATTTTAAACTTCCAACAATGCCGTCTGTATATGACTTTGTTTATGACAGTGAAAGCATGTGGTATACTCTTTATGGCTCACTTGCTTGCATCTGTCTAATCGTTGTCATTCTTACTGGGACTTGTGGTTCCTGGCAGACTGCTGTCTGACTATTTTTGTCACTTTGAATCACAGCTACCTCATAAGTGATATTGCTATTTTTCAATTTTCTCCGGATTTTGTCAATGAAACTTACTATGTCATTCCAGATTTTGTTGTTTTTCCTCTGCTATGACAACTGTCACTGGGTCAAGATACTTGAATTTCTTTACAAAAGCTTTGATCATAGCTGAGTCTTCCTCATTTTTCTACTCCAAATATAATTTTATATGCTTTGGAAAAAAACTTATTTTTAAACTCAAAAAGGGTCTTCGTCAGCAGTAGTCTGCAGTAAGTCTAGCATTTCTACAGAAGGTACGTCTTCACCTGTTTGAACATAACAGCAATTGTCGCAGTCTGTCTGTCGCGTCACTATGTTTTTTTTGATCTTTATCGTTAACAACGAGAATTTTTAATTCGAGACATAAATTTTAATTGGGAGCCATAACGGAAATAAATAATTTATGTCATGATTTGAAATCTGATGGCATTTGACATGCATTTCATATATTTCCATGTTGCTGTAAATATCTTTATCTGATATCATAAGCAGGGATGTCTTTTAAAACTTTCATTAATTGATTATGTATTTGCAACTTAAGTTTTGCAGTTTTACATAACAATTTCTTTATGTTTAATTTGTGTTTCGTCATCAGAGTCAATATCCGAACTTTCAGAGATATCGGACAGACGTGGCTCTGATCTTGAATCACTCTGTTTGTCATCTCTGTGTTTATCTTGGCAACCTGTTTACTGTCATTCTGCAGTCTTAACAAAAGATTTGTCTTTGAGTCAATTTGTTCCTCAAGATTCTCTATGTAATTACAAAAAATGTCACAGTTTGGGCAAATCTAAGAGCATCTGAGACACATTTTTCATGCTTTTCTGTGTTCTGTACAGTGCTACATTCTATCTGCTTTAATGTACACAGATTTTTTAACAGATAAATCAACATTCAAAATCATTTTGTTGAATATTCTTACTAAATTTAAGATGTTAGATATCTTTTTACGCTGTCTGTGCACAGTAAATCTAGAATTTATCTATCTGAATATTGGCCTGTAAAACATTCGTTATACACATAATGCCATAGCTGACCGTCTTCAGGATATAAAGAAACATCTTTAAACTCTAGCTTGCTGTCATTAACTAAGTCATCAATAAATTCCATAATTGTTACTCACCGTAATCAGAAGATTTTCTCGTTTGACCCGGCTCAGTCACTGGACCTCTCGTCCACGTCTGTTTAATCGCCTTTTCTGCTAGGTTTTTTCACCGTGCTTTTCCCCAAGACTTGACAATCACAGAATTGTGCGTTCTCCCCCCTGATCAAGGAATGGAAAACCGGAGAAAAAACTTCGGCGGAGGCTGGCTCACCAAAATGTTGGATTTTAGACACATACAATACTTCTTTTAGTGTCTTGAGGCGATTATGAATGAAAGAGCCATTGAAATAAAAAATGAAGTGTGATTTTATTCTATTATTTTTTTATTTTATTGTAAAATAACAATGTAAAGCGTATCATGAACAGTTCCATGTAGATAAAACTACTGTAAATATCAAGCAAACGTTTAAAGATAAGTCACCATTATTTGTCATGGCTGTCCTGGCCATGTGCTGTTCTCCATGTTCTTGTCCTTCTCATGTCTTTTTGGGGGAAGATACCAGGAAATAGACGGAAGTGATGATCTTGTCTTCAGTAAGCACCTGTTCCAGCTTTTCATACGTGTGTGTACGTGTGTGACAAAATGTCAGTGTTAGTGTGTGAGTGTGTCTCCCGTCCTCTGTCCCTTATGGACCTTTTATGCAGAATGAGTGTGATAACGAGAGATTCTTAATACCTTGTATGGCATAGAAGGGGGGGGGACGACACTCACATAATGTTTTTGATGGACAGGAACATATTAATGCTGATGTACATAATATTGTAAGCTAATGATGTAATCTCAGCTATTTATATTTAAATGATAATATAACTTCAATGTATAATCACTAATCTATATATACATCAATATTAGAAACGTAACTAAATACACACAGATACTATTAAAATACATTATGTAATAGTACGTCTATAATGAGTCCTCCTAATGCCTTTGACATTTTACTAGAGACTTCTAACCAGCTATGCCTAAATATAGTCTTCAGCTGGTTTAGCTGGTCTCAGCGAACTCATTCATATTTACTGTCTCAGCCAACTCATTCATATTTTACTGTCATCAGCGAACTCATTCATATTTACTGTCTCAGCAAACTCATTCATATTTACTGTCTCAGCTTAACTTATATATCTTTTGCACACATATTAATATTAATTATGATTAATCATAAAAAAACAAATATTTTGCAAGCTTGCCATCAATATAAGTGCCGAATCATAATTTTGATTTCAAACAGCAGGAATTGAAGTTTTGGAAAAACAATGTGAGCAGCCACAGCCATGGCAAGGTTCTGGGTCTTAGAACAAGCCGCTAGTGAAAACGAAAGAGACAACAGTTCCAGACACTCAGTTGTATCTTATGTCTCAGATTCTTCACACATCTCTCCAGAACATCAACTTCCTGTCACAGCAGCCAAAGTACTCCATCAAAGTCTCTTCTCTGCACCTCCTGTACCTCAGGATGATTTGCCCTTATACAGTATCCTCCAATACATCAGACTGCAGCATCTCAGCCAGCCGCAGACACTGGTGTATTTAACAGACCGTCCATCATACTTTGACTCCCAGCAAACGCACCACTCTACAAACCAACATGCCAATGGACTCT